CGCGGCGCGCAGCTCCGGGGCGGCCCCCCAGAAGAGCGCGGGCCCGGCCGGCGGGTCGTCGACAATGAGCGCGTCGAGGACGCAGGCCTCTTGGCCCATGGGTCGGCCCCAACGAATTGCACGACGCGCTGCGCCGTGGTTGCGCGGTCGAGCGCCGCCGCGGTGAAGCGGCGGGCCCGCCGGAAGTGCGAGTTGCCAGAGCTGCGGGCGGGGGCGTTCTGCGCGTTAGGGCGCGGGGCGAACGTGACGACGCCTCGGTAGTTGGCGAGGCTGCGCCCGGGCACTCCCGGCGGCTCAACGCGGCGGCGGTCGCGGCTGCGGATGCCCGCGTGGGCGCGCTGGCGGCGATCGCCGGGCCCGCGGCGCTCTGTGTCAGCGGGGCCCTGAGTCGCGCGGACGGCGCCCTCGCTCGTAGCGCGGGCGACCATGCGTGGCGGCAGCCCACCGTGGTACGAGGCGTCGAGGGCGCGGCGCTCGGCCGCGCGGCGCGAGAATCCGCGCGCCCGGTCGTCCGCTTGTTGGCCTGGCGCGCAGGCCCGGCCAGGCAGCGTTGCCGGGTTGTACTCGAGCGTGCCCTATGGCCAATTGGCAGGGCGGGCTGGGGCGCTTGGCCACGTTGGCCGGGGAGGCCGTTCCGTGCTCGCTGCTGTGCCCTTGCGCACCACGGGCAGCGTGTGCCGCGGCACTTCTGGTAGGCGCAGGGCCAGGTGGTCTGGGTCAGTGCGTTGGCGGCGCGTCGGGGCACCCCCCCGCCAAAAGTTGTCGGTGCGCGCCAGGACTGATCGAGTCCGGCGGCGCCGCGGCACGCGCTGCGACGTTCTAAGTGCCCTGGGCAACCCGCGGCACGGCCGGGAGTGCGCGGGGGCGGGCTTCGTGACCGAGGGGTGCCGCGCCACTTCTTGGAGGGGCCCATGTGGGGTCGCGCAAGCAACGGTCGCTGGCGCGGAAGCAGATCCAGTCGAAGCCTTGGGCCTCGAGCGTCGTGGCCCGCTGCCCCCGGGCCACCGCGGCCCGCGGGGGGCAGCGTCAACTCGGGCCCCACGTGGGAAGATCCGCGGCTCCTGGGACAAGGCTGCGGCCGAGGAGGTCGAGGGGGTCGAGGGCGACGGGCCAGACTGGGGCCGCTGCGCGCTGCCGGTCCACGTGGATCAGCCCGGGCGTGACTAAGTACGCTTGCGCGGGGTCAAAATCGTAGCAGGGGTCGGCGGGTAGGTCCGCCTCGTCGGAGTCGTCTGAAGCGTCCAGCGAAGCGCCCGCGCTGGCATCGCTGTAGGGGCCAGCGATGCGGTGCGTGGTCGGGAAGGCCGGGGTGGCCCCGGCAGACCTGGCGCGCGCCCCCGAGCCGCGAGGCGCTGGCGAGCGAGCTGGATCACCTCTTGGACGCAGAAGGGGGTCCGAGCCACCGTCGGCTGAGCTGTCAGGCTGAGCTGCAGCTGCGGCTTCGGCGAATAAGTCCTGCCAGTGCCGTGGTGTGACGGGGTCAGGTCTCCAGCGGTCGGGGGGCGGTGGAAGGTTTTTAAGCTGCAACCCTTCCTCGAACCAGGCGCGCGCAGCTTTGGGGCAGCGGAGTGCCTCGACCAGCGGAAGTGGGTCCGGCTGAGCCGGTTGTGCGCCGCGCGCTGCACATGGTAAGTGGAGCTGGGTGGAGCCACTTGTAGCTGCGGAAATGGCTAGTGTCCATGTCCTCCGCACACGCAACGGCGGTGGGGTCAGCTACCCCTGCCAGGAAGTGGGCGAGGGTGACGTCGCCCACTCCGAAGGACTGCCGAGCGTGGCGGATTGTGGATGCAGCGTAGTGCCTGCTTGGTCCCACCGCTTGAGGAGGGTGTGGACCTTCGGGTAGACGAACTTGCCGTGGTGCTGCGGGCCCCTGTAGGCGTAGACGCGCGCCTTTTGGTCCGTGGCTCGATGCTCCTACGACACTCCGGCACCTCCTGGGCAGAGCTGATGAGCATAGCCACGCCGCACACGGAGCCATCAGCTGAATTGTGTCCGCAGGGGGCCGAAGGTGCCAACTTGCGTCTCCGGGGGTGGTGGAGGTGAAGACGCGGTGTGCCGTGGGGCCAGTGCCAGTGGCCTGGCGCCGCGTACCAAGGGAGATCTGTCACTGCTGCTCAGCCAGGCGGGGGATGGTTTCCGCCCTCGTGGCGTGAAGCAAAGCCGACTCAGGGTGGGCGTCGTCCTGCATGCGCCAGGCAGCGAACGGGAGTGGGTGAAGGTGGTCGCTCTGATCTTTTTCGAGTATCCAGATGACCCCATCTGGGAAAGCCCCAAGAGAGGTAGAGGTAGAGACGTCCCGGACCCAGTCGGGGTCCTCCCAGTGGGCCGCGGGGCCGCTGACGAGGTCCCGAACCCGGCTCTGAGAGCGGTCGGGGTCCCATGCCTATTGGTACGTCTGGATGTGCGCTACGATGTTGTCTGGAGGGGCCCTGATGCGCGGAAGCGGGGGCGCAGAGGTGGGGCTGCGGCCTCCGACGTGGCTCCTGGCCCTCTGCACGGAGATGGCGCGCTTGGCAGGGCCCGCATGGGGGCGGGCCGGTGGCGCCATGGAGCGCGTTGCCGGGCGTGGTGCGCTATCGATGGGGGGCCCGACGACGTGCCTCGCGGCGCTACCGATCGCACTGCCCGCACTGGGGGGGGGGGGGGCGGGGACGGTTGCCGCTGGCTGGGGCGCCAGGCTGAGCCTGGCCCTGGCGTGGGGGAGCGGGTGTGCGCTCCTGCGTGGGGGCTTGTTAGTGAGTGGCCCCCAGGTGACCGCGGCGGCGTGCGGGAGCGCGCCGAAGCGGCTGAACCGGTGGGCGTGGGCGGCGGTGCCTTGGTGGAGGTTCCTCTGGTGGTGCCTCCAAGCTCGAGGAAGCCAGCTTTGAAAGTCGTGTTTAGCCTGCAGCGCGCTGGTGGCGTTCTGGGGGAGGTCAGTGGCGTGCTGTCCAGAGCGAGACAGAGAAAGAGAGAGAGAGAGAGAGAGAGAGAGGAGAGAGAGAGAGAGAGAGATATAGATTCTCATACGCACCTCTCCGAGGGAGTAAAGCTCAGAGGCGATTAATGCGCACGTCGTTCGCGATGTTTCTGGCCGTTTCGCTCGGGACATCCTCGAAATTCTGAAAATCGGTGGCACCCCTCACGCAGATCGTGACGTCAGGGTCCAAAAACACATGGGAATTTCAACAGTTTAACATAAAACCTTCAAAAACACATGGTAATTTCAATAAGTTTGACCCCGATTCTCAGAGAATGGCGGTTTCGCATGAAAAAATCCTCCCCAAATCGAGCCCCAAACCCCTCCTCGGAGCCTCCTGGGGGGCCTCCTGGAACCTCCTGGGGCCTCCTGGGGCTTTCTGGACCTTCTGGTACCCCAGACCCCGCTTCGGAGTCTCCTGGAGTTCTCCTGGGCCTGCTGAGGCCGCCTGGGGCCTCCTGGGGCCTCCTGGGGCTTCAGAACTACATGCGCACACAGAGACACAAATCACGCCCAACACATCACACGCTAGACAAACATAACATACACACACACACACAACACCGACAACACACAAAAAGCACGCACCACACAAAGCACACATCACACACACACGCAGCACTCACAATCCTGGGGCCTCCTGGAGCCTCTTCTGGTATCCAAGTCGGGCCTCCTGAGGCTTCCTTGGGGGCCCTGGTACACACATCGCAAGGTGTGGCAACCCCACTTGCGCTCGAGTGCGACTTCGCTGTTGCATGTCACTCCTGCTTCAAACGCCCCTTCAGCTTGTTGTATGAGCCTGGGCACACACGTGCCACTTGTATATATAGACGAGCAGGGTCAGTTAGGTTGTAAGGGCGGAGAGGAGGCGGAGTCGAAGGAGGAATCTGAAGAGACGGGGAATGAGGAAAACAACAAGGAGGAGGATAAAGAGTAGAAGGAGGAGGAGGAGTAGGAGAAGGAGGAGGAAACATGAGACGGAGGTGAGGTAGGAGATGAGCGAGAAGTCAGATGCAGAGAACGATGAGGAGAGGGAAGGTCACGACATATGGGCGAGCTGGCTGCCCCTACGCACACAAGCCGTTGCCAGGTGACTTCCGCATCCCCCTGGCGTCAGGAGTCTGCGCCGCCACGCGGATATCGATGAGGTGAATACGGCGATGCGGAGAGCAATGGGAACTGTGCGGAATGCCTGGCTCTCAGAACATGGGCATTATCGCCAAACGACTCCCTATAATCTCAGAAGATGCCGTGTAATTCTTTCGCACGGTGCGCACCTAATGCCTTACCTGTAAGTATCACCGAATTCGACTTAGCGTGAGAAGTGGAGTGAGCTCACGCGCAGTTCACAGCGAGACAGCGAGGGAGATACTTAGAGGAAAGAGGGAGAGGGGAGGAGGACGTGAGTGAGGGGGACTGCGACGTACAGAAAGAGAAAATATAAACGAGGTTGGAGCGGAGGAGCGAGAAAGTGGGCGAGCTGGCCGACTGCAGAAGTTCGAGGCCCCTCGCAAAACAACGTCCATCTGATTCTAGAGAGACGCCAGGCATTCCTTCGAAGATGCGCGCCCGCCTCGCGCACCAAATCCAGCCAGGCGTGCACATCCAGAGCGCACCTGGGGCCCAAGCATCACGAGACAGTGAAAGACATGAGAGAGAGAGAGAGAGAGAAACAAAAAAGAGGGAGAGAGAGGGAGCAAGAAGGATTTGGCGACCTGGCCGGCCCTAATGGCACGAGCCCTGTGGCCAAACAATCATCTGTCACTGTCACGCGGTCGTGCCGCCCGCCGCTGGTCGCCCAGCCCAGCTAGGCCCGCGATCATTTGCACAGGGCAGAGGAAGATCGGGTCGGACGAAAGGGAGGGCTACGTAGCGAACGAGCTCACGTAAGTGGCTTTCTGGGCGCCTCCCGGCGCAGGAGCCGGCCGTGTATCGAGAAAAGTGCCCGGCGGTGGGGCCGAAACCAGCTGCATGCAGCGTGTTCTGCACCTCCCCTTTCCTAATCGCCTCCTTTCGTCCGTCCGACCCGAGAGGTGGGGAGGCCTCACGCGCCAAGCACCACGCTGAAGAGCGGGGACTTCTCCGTCGGCGGCTCGAAACCACGGCTTCGGCAGTAGCGAGCGAAGTGGTCCGAGATCCCGGCCAGGAGCTGCGTCAGGAGCGCCCTTCCCTGGTCCAGGCTCGGCTGGTCCCTGCAGCTCAGTGCGATCTGTAGAGGCACGTCGGCCTCCGCCGACCTGCGCCTGCTGTGCGAGCACTCCCTGTGGCCGCTGCCCCGACCGCGGACGCGCACCTTCCCGCCGCACGCCTCCGAGATGGTGCGCATGTTGCAGCCGCCGCGGCCGATCAGGCGGGGCACGATCTCGAAGCTCGCGTCCCGGTCTGCGTGGATGCCCACGAAGATGAACTTGCACGTGAACCTGCGGTCGCCCTGGCCCGGGTGGTGGCAGCTCGCCGCCAGCGGACCGACCTCCTTGCCGCCCACCTGCGGGACGGGGAGCCCCGGCGGAGGGGCGATGCCGACGGCTGCGGCGGGGGGCGCGTGGGGCGAGCACGCCTGCTCGAGCGGCTGGCAGGGCAGCTCGGCTGGCCACATCAGCAGCTGGCCCCGGTCCGCCGGCGAGAGGCGCTGCGAGGCGTCGGCGAGCCCCGTGGGGCTGCAGCAGGCGTCGGGGTCGGCGCCGCCGCTCGACAGCGGGGAGGTGGCCAGGAAAGCCGCGGCTCGCCGCTGCGGGCTCTGCGGGCTCTGCGGGCACGGCGGGTCAAAGGGGCCGAGCGGGCCCTGCGAGGCGTGCGAGCCCCGCGCGCCTGGCGGCCCGCAGCAGCTCACGCCGACCTTCGCCGGCACCGCGGAGGCGGGCCCGCCGCAGCCCACGTCGATCTTGGCCGGCACCTGCGCGTGCCAGCCGCTCAGCGAGGCGGCCGCCCGCTCGCCGCCCGTCGCGACCGACAGGCCCACCGTGAGCTTCGCGGGCTCGCGGGCGCACGCGGACTCCTCCCCGCCGGGGAGGGCGGGGGGCAGCGGGCGCCCCAGGAGGCGCGGGTAGGGCGCGGCGGCACGCGCGGGGCCCACCTCGGGAGGGGCCGGCGAAGCACCGACAACCGCCGCCGCCATCTTCGTCGTCGGCTCCTCGTCCTCGTCCCTTCACCACCCGCTGCTGCTCTGTGTGCTCCTCGTCCCTGTCCTGATGCTCCTCCCCCCCCTGCTCCTCACATCTCCTCCCCTGTCCTCTTCCTCCTCCTCCTCCTCATCCACCTCCTCCTCCACCTTTCTACCATAGTTATCCTCCTGTCCCACCTCCTCCTCCTCCTCCTCCTCCTCCTCCTCTTCTTGATCCTCCTCTTCGTCGTCCTCTACGCCTTCCTCCTCGTCCCCCACTGTCTTCGTTCTCCTCGTCCTCACTGTGCCTCCCTTCTTCCAGCTGTTCCTCCTCATCTTCCTCCTCCTCATACTCCTCGTCGCCGTCACCCTCCCCTCATGGTCCTTTTTCTTCTTCGATTCATATTACTCTCATTCTTATCATCGTTATTAGTATAGTTATTGATGCTTGCATTATGTCTCTTATCATTCTGACTCGTGCTAGTATTCGTAATTGTCCCATCTCTCTCTCTCTCGCTCTTTTTGTTGAAAGTGTATGTGTGTGTGTCTTGTTTGCTCTCTCTGTCTCACTCACTCACTCTCTCTCGCCTCGGCTCGAGGATCCCCTGTGATCCGATCGCAGCCATCTGAAGTGCCAACCGCCCGAGACTCTTGCAAGCCATCCAGGTGAGGAAGGATACCCTGTGCGTCAGGGTAACCGAGCGGCACCTAACTCTCTCTCTCTCTCTCTGCTCCCTCCGCGCTGCACGTCCCCATGTGTAAGGGCCTGCGCCGCCGTGCTTCGTTTACGGCCCCTCCGACAAGGGGCCAAGGCGCTGCCGATCAAACGCTCCGATTTGCACAGAACGACGCGTGCATTGCTGCCCTCCCTGCAGGCGGTGCTGACCGCGCCCCTCGCGCCTACGGCGAGTTCACCACCGAGGTCCCCGATGAGCTCGCCACAGTCCTTCAGAACAAAAGCCAGGGCATGAACCAGCTGAAGGCAGGCCTCCAGCGCTTGTACGGTGAACAGAAGATCAGCTGGACTCTGAACCACCACCAACGCACCAACGGCCCCCCGCACGGATGAGGTACCGACCCCAGCCCATGGCGAGGGTGCCTCTGACGCAGAAGACCATCCGTTACGCAGTCTCGACCACGGCGGCTGGTCCGTCCCCGTCGCTGCGTAGCCGACACGCAACGCCGCGGGCGACACCTTCACTGCCAGCATCTCGCTGCACGGCCAAGACGACGGCGAACGGTTGCGCTCGCAGCTCCGCCAATGGGACGCTCCTCTCGCGGTGATCGTCCTCGGCCCCAAAAACACCGACAACCCAGGAACGGGTTTGGCTGTCCCCGTCCTGCGCCGCACATCCCAGGCCAACAAAGCCTCGCCATCCCACGTCGACGGCGCACTCCACTAGTTCGGGGGCACCGCGGCCACCTGCCGCCAAACCAGGGTTGAGGTCGTTCTCGACGCCGCGGAGGCCTCTTACCTACCTGGACCCATGTGACTCTCCACGAGGCCGGCGCCATTGCACAGGCCGAGGCCCTCTCCGCGCTCTTCCCGCAGCAGTCCTCGGGCGGCGCCCCGATCAACGGTGCTCGCCATGGCAGAACCGACGTTGGCGGGGCCCAAGCAGCTGCTCGAGGTCGACACAAAATCTGCCAGAAGAACCAAGCTCGGGCGGAGCTGCATGCATCCCTCTGGAGCGCACTCGCCGCAATCTTCACGACACGCTTCTCCGCCCTCGCCGTCGAGGAGAGCCCCGGCAGGTTTAGCCGTCGCGGGACGACGAGTGGGAAAAACGCCAACTGTGAGCCGCTTTCGGCGTCGCCCCCGCTGACGCCGACGCGGTCCGGGCGGCTTCAGGCCTCGCAAGCGTCACCTTGGAGTTCAGTTGCCGCGCTGGGCCCGCCGCTTCGCGCCCTATCGACGTCTTCGTGACCTGGTTCAAAGACATGAGCGACCCCCATCGCTGACGCGTGCCCCGCCTCCCACCTTGTCGGCGCTCTCGGAGCCGTCGAGGGCGCGAAGCGGCGGGCGCGCGCCGCCAGCTTTTGGGCCGCCCCGCGCGCCGCCATCGGCGACGTCAACACTTCGCTGGCTCTCCACGTCGAGAGCGACCGCCGCGCTGCCCCGTCCCTGGCTGGGGCGGCTCCCGACTGACAACAATGTTTCGAGTACCTCATTGCCGACGCTTCCCTCGAGCTCGCCCCGAGGGCTGGCCCGCCCCGCCGACGTCGTCGCGGGGCCGCGAGCGTCTTGCAATGGCAGCGCCTGGTGCGTCCGCGCGGCGGGATCGCGCGCCGCGCCCCTGGCCCGCGCGAGAGAAAGCCCCAGATGCGAACTGGGCGTGTGGGGTTCCGACAAACTGGGTGAGATCCCAAAAATTCTGGAAACCTGGTTGGTCCACGGACGAAGCATAATGCTTTTGATGTGCGTTCGGGCCAACAGACAGCGCCGTATCGGGCCGAGGTCGCTCAGCATCGCGCGCAGCAACTCCGCGGCCCCCGCCGCTGCTGAACAAGACCTCTCGCTGCAGCAAGCTGTCCGGTTTGGCGGCTTCTGAGGGCATGGGACCCGCCCAGTCACGGTCGCCAGGTGGGCCTCGGGCCCAAGCCTGTTCGACCAGATCTCAGCCCTTCTCCTCAGAGGCCCCTCCCTGCCACCATTCCATGGCGACGCTGGTCGGGCCGTGCATGGGCGTCGCTCCTGCACCTACGCTCCACGAGCTCAACCTGCTGACGCTGCTGGCGCCCGGACCAGGTTCGGGCTCGACTCCTGGGCGTGGCCCAGCTGCCAGATGGCGTGGAGGGCACGGTAAGGGCCGCTCGGCAATTGGTCGCGAGTCCCTGCTCTGCGGGCACCGACGTACAAGTTCCCAGCGGAAGGCGGCGGGCTGCTCCTGGCAATGCTCTCTTTGGTGCCCTCCGCCCACGAGGTCGAGCGCGGCTCTGGTTCGACTTCCGCTCGCCGCGCGCGTCTCAGGGCGCGCGCTTGACCGGCGTGCCATAACGCGGCGCGAGTGCATCCTCGCGGTCCGCCGCCGGGTTCGCCGAAAGCCTGGGCGGCTGGGCCACGTGGCCCACCACCTGTACCACGTCCTCCAAACCAAGCGCGGAGGCAGCCCAAGTTGGCGCTTTTGGCAGATGATTGCACGGCTTGACTGGACCTGTCCCCAATTCCGTGGCATGCGAGACGATTGGGGCGCCCGCGTTCTCTGGGCTTACGATCTGGAGGGCAATGCCACGCATGTGCTGAAGGCGTCCCAGAGACGCGCTTGGTGCGGCGTATCCCCGAGTCCAGGCGCGATCTTGGGTTCCTGTGCCAATGCCCACAGGGGGGTGACATGTACGCCGCGACCTGGCTGGCCCGCGCCAGGGGCAGGGCCTGCCGCGCCCCGCGGCAGCGAGGCCGACGAGTACGGGCGGGGCCTGTTTCCACCAGACCCACCACTTCCTGGCCCGCGCGGCCTGAGGGATCTTCTACGGCCCGATGCACAAGCCCAACTACTAACTCGGCCCGCGTGTACGGCCTCTCCCAGACGGCGCAGCGCGCCGAGACGCTGGCGCTGCTCCACCTGGTGGCCACAGCCGAAATGCATGTGCACTTCTTCGTCGGCAACCAGGCCGTCGTGGACAGTTTCCAAGCCCCCCGACGGTGCGCCACCGCCGCGTCAGGGCAACCAGGGCAATCGGCATCCAGACACCCTCGCCACAAACGCCGTGGCCCTGCACAGCATGCTGCAGGATGCAGTGGAGGCGGCGAAGAATCGGTACTGGCTCGCCGTCGTCTTGCGCAATGTGGCAGTGGCCAAATATGCCCAGCGGCACAACGCCCCGCTCCTCCCACGCCGACGGGCAGGCTCGCGAACTTAAACGCACAGGTCCTCACCCCGACCACAGAAGTACACTGCAACTGGCTGGCACGCCACCGCAGCCGACCGACGAGTTCGACGACGACTGGGCCGACCAGTGGCCCGCCTTGGACGACGAGGATTCGTTCCACCTCGGCGGCAACATGGGCCAACACGACGACGACGCCGACGCTGGTGCCGCGGCTTCCCGTGCGCAGGGCGGCCTCGCGGGAAACCATCCCGGCGCTAGCCCAGGTTCCCACGCCCTTCTGGCTGAAACCACTGGTGACGCTCTTGTCACGGCCTGGTGTCGCGACCTCCATCCCCCCAACGAAGACGACCCTTTCAGCTTGGGCGGCAACTCGGACAGTGACGACGACCCCTCGACGGGTCTGGCAAGGCTGCCTCGCCTCAGCCCCAACGTTCCCAACACCGCCACGCTTTTCCCGGCCACCGCGGGCGGGGGCGAACATCCCCAAATTCAGTGAATAGCCAGCCTATCGTGGCAGCCAGGCCGCCCGACCGCGGCGGCCCCAACAAAAACCACCCCGCGCAAACCAACCGCGCCGAAGACCAGCCCGGTCCCTCCTCCCGCAGTCCCCCGGACCCCCCGGGCCCTACCTACGAGTCCGACGGAGCGCCCTGAGCACCCACCTCGCTGCCGCGGCCGCGACGGCCCCGAACCGTGCGCCTCCATCGGCGAGGCTGGTCGCCCTCGAGCAGCAAGCGCAGGCGGGGCTTGACCGCCTTGTCTCGCCCAACATCGCCTCGCTTCGCTCTGAGCCGCCTGGGACGCCGCCCGCCAGGGCCAGCGTGCCGTCGCCGCCTCCGCCTCCGCGCTGCTGGCGTCCGCCTCGGCCGCCGCCAACACCGCCCACCCGACGCGGCCGTAAGGCCGCCCGCTTCACCCCAAAGCTGTGCGGCGGTCCCGCTTCCTGCCTGGCAAGATCGTCTCGAGGAGGCCGCTACGCCCCCGGCGGAGCTGTCCGCCCAGGGAGCGTTTCCTTGCCGCTGCCTCGCGCGACCGCTAAGCCACTTCCAGGGGGCTCGGCTTGCGTGCACCGCGAACGCTCGCCGCACAGTTGCGTGGCACTGTGGCCGCCCCCGCCGCGTCGTACCTTCTGTCGTTCGCCCCCCTGTCAGTTACTCGCCAAGAGCGCTTCGAGCTCTTGTTCTTACGAATTTCACTCCCGACCTAAAGTGGAGCGGAGCCGCGCGCGGCGGTCGCAGCAGCGGCGGCTGGTCCTGCGCGTCCGATCTCGGTGTCTCTCTCTCTCTCTCTTGTTTCTCTCTCTCTCTCTCTCCCTCCCTCCCTCGCTCTCTCTCTCTCTCTCGCTCGCTCTCGCTCTCTCTCTCTCTCTCTCGCTCGCTCGCTCTCGCTCTCGCTCTCTCTCTCTCTCTCTCCCCCCCTTGCCCTTCTGCTGCTGCTCATCCTGTTGCTGTAGCTCCTTTCCTTCTCTCTGTGATGTTCCATCTCCCTCTTTCCGCCTCTATCTTCTCCTCTCCTCCTCCGCTCCCTCCCACTCCTCCTGTGTCTGCGATTGGAACTACAAGGAGTGCCAGATCAGAGCCGTGCTTGGGTGCGCCGCTGCGTTTGGGCCCTTACCACTCTTGGAGCGCGTTGTGCACGAAGGCTTTTCTTCGTGCAGGCCACGCAGTGCTGCAGGCAGATATTCAGCAGCGGCATGACTCGTGCATTTGTTTTTGTGTTTGCTGTTTTGTTGTTGGGAAAGGGGTCCTAGCAAATTGATGCGAGGCACGTGTCGGGGATAGAATCACAATGGCGGCTGCAAACAACTCTGTCGCACTAACCAATGCCAATTACCTGCTACCGTGCCCGTGTCGAACACTTCACTCTGGGACCCCTCGGGGCGCAGGATCGCTTGTGGATGGATCGGTCCCGCAGCGCCTGAGTTAGCTATGGCCCCCGCGAGCAGGATTTGGAGTGGGTGCGATCTGCGACCCGAGACGCGGCTCGCTCGACGAGACACGATAGGGACACGAACTCCAAGGCCAACTCCAGCTTAGCATGGGGAACCTGAGGGACACGGGCCCTGGATACCTTGGGGGGCTCCTCCACCTTACTTTCGCCTGATCTAGCTTTTGACGGTCCTGGGCGCCGGGAAGTCGAAAGACCAGCGCTAGACCTCCGGACCCCTTTCTTCGCAGGACCCCCTATCCCCAGAGATTCCCGAAGATCGCCTGAGGTCTCTGAGAGGGGCCTACGAAGCCCTAGACAGGAGGCCGACGACGGCAGAGACCCTCGAAGACCACTTCTCTTCGTGGCAGCTGTTCGGCACGGCGCGTGGGCGCTCTGTCGCGGCCCGGCAGAGCAAGGGCACAGCTCCGGATACGGGCTCAAAGCTTCTCGATGTTCTGCCCTGCGGGGCTGCCGATCTCCCCCTCTCCCTCCTCCCTCTTCCTCATAAATAAATCCTCCCTGTCGCACCCCCAAACGTGTCGGCGGTGCGGGCCGGGCGCTTCGCCAGCGAATTCCACGCCATGTATGATCCTGACGCTTGAAATGTGCAACAGCTGCACGGATGGAGGGCGGGTTGTTTTCAAAATGTGGCTCTCGCCTGAGCGCCGCGTGCATGCGTCTTTAAGAACTGCAACAGCTTCGAGGATGGAGGGCGCATCCTATTCAACATGTGGCTCTCGCCTGAGCGCCGCGCACATTCGTCTTGAAAAATTGCAACAGCTTCCAGGACAGAGGGTGGATCCGTTTCAAAATGTGGCTCTCGTCTTAGCGCCGCGAACATTCGTCTTTAACATTCGCACCAACTTCAAGGATGGAGGGCGACTCCTTTTCAAGACGTGGCTCTCGCCCTAACTCCGCGCACACTCGCCGTCTAAGCTTACAACAATTTCAAGGATCCATATGGTCGAAGTCCCAGGAACGGTGTTCTGGCACGACTTCCGACTCTCAGGACCTAGCAGTCACGTTGATTAGTGTTGAAGTCCCAGGAGCGGCGTCCTGGCACGGACACAAAAGTCACGTTGATCCGCGGCCCTGCCGTGCCAGGAGCTGTGCTTCGGCACCACTGAAGGTTCTCATACGGCTGTCTCCTTTATCGGCCAATCCCGCAATGGGCGTCAGTTCCTTCAGGGAGGGTGTGTTGCAAAAGCGTTGATGCGTCTTGGGTTAACACTGGCCCTCCTCTTACTCCTCTTCTTCCTCCCCATCCTTCCTCATCCTTCCTCATCCTCGAGGCTCGAGGTCTCTTCACGTTTTTGTTCACGGGCCTCTGGAGGGCCTCCTCCGTCCTCTTCCTGCTCCTGCTCCTCCTCCCTCGTCTCTGCTCCTCCTCCTCCTCCTCCTCCTCCTCCTCCTCCCCCTCCTCCTCTTCCTCCTCCCCCTTTTCCTCCTCCTCGTCCTCCTCCTCCTCGTCCTCCTCCTCCTCCTCCTCCTCCTCCTCCTCCTCCTCCTCCCCCTCCACCACCACCACTCCTTCTCACCCGCTTCGCCCCTCCTACCAACTACGAGGGAGGAGGGGGCGTCCAAGCGGTTCCGTTGGGTTGGCGGGCGCATTGGGGTCTTGACCACCGTGGCAGCCAACATGTCTCAGCCCCGAGAGACGGAGGCGGCCTACTGGGGCGGCGTTCAGGCGGGAGGGGCGATGGACGCTTGAGCCGCGGAGGCCACGAGCAGCGTGGCGACGACCGTAGCGGCCGCTCCTCCCTTCTCCCCCTCAACCTCCGCCTCTCCCCCTCCCCGCTTCCTCGCCAGCCGTCCCGACCTATCTCCCCCCACATCTCCCCTTCTTTCGTTCCTCCCCCCTTTCTCTCTCTCTCTCTCTCCCTCTCTCTCTCCCTATCCCTCTCTCGCTCTCTCGCTCTCTCTCTCTCTCTCTTTCTCTCTCTCTCTCTCTCTCTCTCTCTCTCTCTCCCGGCGCAGGCAGAGGGCCGCGTGCGGTCAGCCAGGTGCGGCAACTGAGCGTCAACTCGTTGGGTCTCCATTTCCCCCTCCGCTTCTCCGCCCCCGATTCGCCCCTTCCACATCCTCTCTCCCCCTCACCTCCCTGCCCCATGCCCCCCACCCCTCCCGAGCCCGCCTTCTCGCTCCTCATCCCACATCGTTGTGTGTCACTAGGAGTGAAGGGAGCGGGGGGGGGGGGGAGAAATGCGAAGGGCGAGTGGCGCTGAATCGAGGAATGCCAGCCAGGTGGAGCAATGACCGATGCATTCTCTGCGGGAGCGAGTGTCCCACTGGTGCGCAGTGCAGTAGTGGCACAAGCTGCCATTTTGCTGCTGCTGCGGCCCCAGTGTGGGGCGTCCTTCTGTCCCTGGCCTGGGCCGCGGTGTAAGTTCAGTCCCTCCCAGGTGAGCGTTATGCTGGGGATTTCCTTGCGATTTGGTTGGCCTGGCTCCCTCCACTCTCCTCCCTGGAACCTGGAACCTTCGCTCCGCATTCTCAAGAGGGCAGCCGCTGGCCAAGCTGGAGCGACGTAGGCTGTTTGCGCAAACGATTCTTGCGACAGCACGCGCGCAAGGGCGATCGAACGACTTCGGCATGCGCGCGCGAGGCTCGGTCGGTAGAGTTGCACGAAATTGTTAAAAGCCTATGGCTTTCAAAAGAATCTGCAAAAGCGCGAGCGCAGTTTTTGTTGAACATCCTCGTGGCGAAACCATGTGTTCTTTTATAAGCTTTTGTGACACCCGATTGTGGACGCTTTACGACATACGTATGTTTAGCAAATTCAGCATGCGCGCGACCACGCGAGCGTGTGCACTTCGTCCTCTTTCGTGTGCAAGGTGTTCTTGAAAACTATGGCTTTTGATGAACGAATGCGCGCATACAAGGCTTTCGAGAGGTGGAGGGGGGAACCGTTACCGGCCTGGCTGGGATTGTATGAGCTCGCATTTAGAATCGACGATGAGGCAGAATGACATGCAAATTGCAATGCGAAATCTGGGGCGGTTCAATCCAGAGGGTATGGAGATCCGAATGCTTTTTTCTCATACAAAATGATAGTCTTTGTGGTGCAATTAAATCCGAAAAACTTGGAACGGTCAGCTCCAATTCTCGCGTAATCCTCCCACCCACGCACCCGCATTCCAGTTTGCAAAACCAATGCGGCGGCGATTGTGATGAGCGCTTGGTGCTGGCATCTCTGAGGTCGCGCCAACGCCGACCGCTGGGCACTTCCCAGCGCGTCTCGCAGGCCGCGCTGACGCTCGGGCACTTGAATGAGAGTCGGTGGCTTGGGCGAGCGCGGTATCATGGCGACGTCGACAACTGTAGACACAATGATGCTAGTAGCGATGATGGTGACGATGGTGGCGATGACGACGGCAAGGCCAAAGACAGCGCCGATGCTGATAACGCCGATGACGATGATGGTGTCCTCGCATCGGTGGTGAAGGTTTTAAAAGGAGTTCAACATGCGCGCGCGGGCGACGCGCGCGAGTGGTCCGCATTCTGCCATTTGACAGGGATCGTGCCCCCCCCAGCACGCTCGCAAAGGCGTTCGAACGATTCCGACATGTGCGTGCGAAGAGACCCGCTTGGACGAAATTGATGAACACGTTGGAAACCTATGATTTGCTTAAGGCTTAGCAAGAGCGCGCAAACCTTCTGTCGAAAACTGATGTTGCAAACTGGTGTGTGTGTGTGTGTTGTTCCCATGTTTTTGGGACACTCGATTTTGACATCCTAGCGAAACCTAAAGTTTGTGCATTTCGCCCCATCTGTTGCAAGTGATTCTTGAAAACGGATGGGTTTTGATAGCGCATGTTCGCACATTGCTTTGGTAACGCAACGGCAACAACGGACTGTGAGGGGGGTCGAACCAGTCCTGGCTGGGATGGTGCGAATTTAGATTTCGGATGGGCGATGGGGCAGTGCCACATGTAAGTCGTCATGCAAAAAAACAGCGGGCATAATAAACTTGGGGGCAGATCCACATGTTTTTCCTTAACAAGAATAATATATGTTGTGCAATATATGTGTCGCGCAATCTATGTCATCAAATCCATGATTTGCGCAAATTCAAAACCAATTGCCCTGCCAGCGCACCAGCCAACCCAACGGTTCAACCGGCCCAAACACCCAACCCACAAAGCAGCCGAGCAGCCCAACCAACCCTACCCACCACCACACCAACCCGCCTACCTCCGCCGCCTGCCCTCCGTGACTACCAAAAAAGGGGGGAGCATTTCTTACCTACGACGATGGCTGTGAACCGCCCTCCGGGGACCAGGCTGGCAGCCGGGAGGGGCCAAATCGCACCACACCTTGGCGGACCGGCCTCCCGGGCGGGCGCCCCAAAGACGGTTTGGGGGGGCCAAAGTCGCATCACACCGTCGGGCCCCCTCCGGGCGGGCGTCCCGAGCACGGTCGGCGGGGGTCAAATCGCACCGCACCGTGGGGAACCGGCCTCCCGGGCGGGCATTCCGAACACGGTTCGGGAGAAACACACCGCACCATACCATGGGGAACCAGCCTCCTAGACGGGCGGGCCCCGGGCACGTAGCGCAAAATCGCACCGTACCGTAAGGCGCCCGCCTCCCAAGCGGGCGCCCCGAGCACGGTCTGGCGACCCAAGTGCGATACTGTCATAAACTAGTTGCCGTAGCCAACGCACCAGCTAGCCCAACCAGCCCAACCAGCCCGCTCGCAAACCCGCCAAGCAGCCCAACCAACCCAACCCGCCACCACGCCAACCTGCCTACCCCCGCCGCCAGCCCTCCGCCACCACCGGCGCCCCGCAGAGCAGGGGCGCGGAGAGGGGAGCAAGGAGCGGAGCGGGGTTTTCGGGGCGCTCGCGATCTGTGGCGCTCGGAGGCTGTCGGAGGCTGAGGAAGGGGGAGGAGCAGGAGAGGAGAAGCATGACAAGGAGTTGGAGGGGGGAGAAAGGAGGGATGAGCAGGAGAAGGAGGCGGCCAAGGGGAATGGCCAAGGAATCAGAAGCAGGAGCAGGGGCATGCGGAAGACTACGAGGACGAAAAGGAGGATGGGGGGGACACGTAAGCACAAGTGACATAGCAGGAAGAGAGAGCAGGCGGGACGAACGTCGCAAGGATGAGGATGGATGAGGACGCGAGAGGGAAAGCAGCAGACACCACAACATTCCAAAGAGTAACTTCATCAAGTTGGATTCTGACCCCGCGAAGGGCTTTATAGGGTACGTGGTACAATTTACGTGGTACAGTACACGTTCTGCATCGTATGATGATGTGGTGCAATCTACGTGGTGCAATCCACTTCGACTGTCTTGAAGCTGTCCTCTCCACTGCTCGTGCAAACATCCCACCCTCCCACCCGCAACTTGGTCGCAAGACATCTTCAGACAAGACCGTGACGGTAGGTACTGCGTGGCACTTGGCCACGACACCGATGCCGACGACGACAGCGACATCGACGACGACGGCGCCGCCGACAGCGACTGCGACGACACCGACGACGTCTCCAATGTTTTCGACGACGACAACGACGACGACGACACCGACGACGACGACAACGACGCCGACGACGACGACGAAGACGACGACGACGTCGCCAACGGAGACGACGACGAGGGAGGAGAAAAAACGACGACGGCGACAACGACGACAACGACGATGGAGGAGGGAAGACGGCGACGACGCCAACGACGAAGAAGGAGGAAGGACGGCGACGCCGACGACGACAACGACGAGGGAGGAGGGAAGACGACGACGATGACAACGACGACGAAGACGACGACGACGGCGACGAAATAGGAGGGACGACGACGAGACGCCGACGACGGACGACGACGACGAGGGAGGAGGATAACGACGAGGGAGGAGTGAAGACCACGACGACGACGACGACGACGACGACGACGACGAAATAGGAGGGACAACGACGAGACGCCGACGAAGACAACGAGGGAGGAAGGACGACCACGGCGACAACGACGACGGAAACGACGACGACGCCAAAGACGACGAGGAAAGACAGAAGACGACGACGGCGACGACGACGACGACGACGAGGGAGGAGGGAGGACGACGACGACGACGACGCAAGAGCGCGCGCGCACAATTTTGTTGAAAACCCGTGTTGCGAAACCTTGTGTTTTTGTAGGTTTTTTGGACGCACGATTTCGACATTCTTCCGAAACCGAAGGTTTTTGAAGGATTTCGGCATACGCCCGCGACGGCGCGCGCGTCTGCACTTCGTCCCAATTTTTTACCGAGGATTCTCGCGACGGCACACGCGCAAGAGCGTTCGACAGATTTCGACATGCGCGCGCGAAGCCCGTTTGGTAGCATTTTGCGACAATCTTGGGAAACCTATGGTTTTCTTAAGATTTCGCAAGAGCTCGCGCGTAAGTGTTTTTTGAATCAGTGTTGCGAAACCATGTGTTTTTATATGTTTTTCCCAACCAACCTGTGTTGTTGGGTCCTCGTTTTGAAGAGACGGTCCCCGCGTTTCTCCTCCTCCTCGCCCCCGCCCTCCAGGTGTTCGCATGCGGTTCCCCCACCCAGGGCAGCGTTTCGTAGCCCCAGAGGGAGCTCCACCGAAGGCCCCAGTGGGGGTGTCCACATGCGGTTCCCCCACCCAGGGCAGCGTTTCGTGGCCCCATAGGGAGC